TGAAAGTTTTTCCTCTAAGATGAGGAACAAGACAAGAATGTTCACTCTTGCTACTTATATTCAATATAGTACTAAAAGTTCTAGCCAGAGTAATTAGGCTACAAAAAGAAATGAAAGTATTAAAATCAGAAAGGAAGAAGTAAAATTATCTGTTTGCAAATGACATGATTTACATATAGAAAACCTTAAAGATGCCACACACAAAACAAAGTTAGAACGAATAAACAGAGCTATGGTGTTTAGAACAGTATGGTACTGGCATAAAGACAGACATAGAGACCAATGTAACAGAATAGACAGCCCAGAAATAAACCCACACATATACAGTCAGTTGATATTTGACAAAACTGCCAAGATCACACAAGAGGGTAAAGAGAGTCTCTTCAACAAATGGTGTTGGGAAAATCAGATATCCACATGCAAAGTAATAAAACTGAACCCTTCTCTTATACCATGCCAAAAAATCAACTCAAAATATATTAAAGTCTTAAATTTAAGAACTGCAACTATAAAACTCCCAAGAAATAACATATTGGAAAAGCTTTTTGACATTGTTCTTTTTTTTTTTTTCACCTGCTTTTAATGCTAACCTTGTTAAATTAGGGAAGAAAATAATGTTTAAAATGTCCTGTTAGGAGAATGCAACTTGAAATCGGTTCCTTAAAATCAGCTTAATTTTTTTAACATCTTTATTAGAGTATAATTGCTTTACAATGGTGTGTTAGTTTCTGCTTTATAACAAAGTGAATCACCTGTACATATACATATATCCCCATATCTCCTCCCTCTTGCGTCTCCCTCCCTCCCAACCTCCCTATCCCACCCTTCTAGGTGGTCACAAAGCACCAAGCTGATCTCCCTGTGCTATGCGGCTGCTTCCTACTAGCTATCTATTTTACATTTGGTAGTGTATATATGTCCATGCCACTCTCTCACTTCGTCCCACCTTACCCTTCCCCCTCCCTGTGTCCTCAAGTCCATTCTCTATGTCTGTGTCTTTATTCCTGTACTGCGCCTAGGTTCTTCAGAACCTTTTTTTTTTTTAAGATTCCATATATTTGTGTTAGCATAAGGTATTTGTTTTTCTCTTTCTGACTTACTTCTCTCTGTATGACAGACTCTAGGTTCATCCACCTCACTACAAATAACTCAATTTCATTTCTTTCTATGGCTGAGTAATATTCCATTGTATATATGTGCCACATCTTCTTTATCCATTCATCTGTCAAGGGACACTTAGGTTGCTTCCATGTTCTGGCTATTGTAAATAGAGCTGTAATGAACATTGTGGTACATGACTCTTTTTGAATTATGGTTTTCTCAGAGTATATGCCCAGTCGTGGGATTGCTGGGTCGTATGGTAGTTCTATTTTTAGTTTTTTAAGCAGCTCATGCAGCTCAATATCAAAAAAACAAACAACCCAATCCAAAAATGGGCAGAAGACCTAAACAGACATTTCTCCAAAGAAGATATACAGATTGCCAACAAACACCTGAAAGGATGCTCAACATCACTTATCATTAGAGAAATGCAAATCAAAACTACAATGAGATATCACCTCACACCAGTCTGAATGGTCATCATCAAAAAATCTACAAACAATAAATGCTGGGGAGGGTGTGGAGAAAAGGGAACCCTCTTGCACTGTTGGTGGGAATGTAAATTGATACAGCCACTATGGAGAACAGTATGGAGGTTCCTTGACATTGTTCTTAGCAATGATTTCTTGAATATGACACCAAAGGCACAGGCAACATAAACAAAAATAGACAAGTGGGATTTCATCAAACTAAAAGGCTTCTGCACAGCAAAGAAAACAACAGAATGAAAAGGCAACCTACAGAAAGGGAAAATGTTTGCAAACCATACATCTGATTAGGGGTTAACAACCAAAATACAAAAGGGACTCCTACAACTCAATAGCAAAAAACAAATAACCCAATTTAAAAATGGGCAAAGAACTTGAATGGACATTTCTCTAAAGAAGACATACAAATGGCCAACAGGTATACTAAAAAGTACTTAATTTCACTAATTATGAAGGAAATGTGAATCAAGACCACAATGAGATTATCACCTCACACCTGTTAAGATGGCTATTATCAAAAGCAAAATAAGAGATAAGTATTAGAGAGGATATGAAGAAAGTAGAACCCTTCTACTCTGTTGGTGGGAATGTAAAATAGTACAGCTGCTGTAGAAAATAGTATGGAGGTTCCTCAAAAAATTAAAACTAATATGATATCGCTTATATGTGGAATCTAAAAAAAGGGTACAAATGAACTTATTTACAAAACAGAAGTAGAGTCACGGATGTAGAAAATAAACCTATGGTTACCAGGGGATGGGGGGGAGTGATACATTGGGAGATTGGGACTGACATATACACACTACTATATATATAATAAGAACCTGCTGTATATAGCACAGGGAACTCTACTCGATACTCTGTAATGGCCTATATGGGAAAAGAAACTTTAAAAAAAAAGAGTGGATATATGTATATATATAACTGATTCACTTTGCTGTACGCCTGAAACTAACACAACATTGTAAATCAACTATACTGCAAATAAATTTTTTTTTTCAATTAAAACTAGAACTACCATATCATCCAGCAATCCTACTTCTGGGTATTTGTACAAAAGAATTGAATCAGGATCTCAAGAAGATATTTGCACTACCAGGTTCATCACAGCATTATTGACAATAGCCAAGATATGGAAACAACCTAAATGTCCATGATGAATGAATAAAGAAAATGTGTTATATACATACAATGAAATATCATTCAGCCTTAAAAAAAAAGGAAATCCTGCCATGGGTGACAACATTGATGAACCTAGAGACATTACTGTAAGTGAAATAAGACAGTCACAAAAATACAAATCTGTATTATTCTATTTATATGAGGTATTCAAAATTGTTACACTCATAGAAGCAGACAGTAGAATGGTGGTTGCCAGAGACTGGGGGGAGAGGGAAAGGGAGAGTCCTTGTTCAATGGATATAAAGTTTCAGTTATTCAAGATGAATAAATTCTAGAGATCTGCTGTTCAACATAGTACCAGTAGTTAACAATATCTTGTGCATTTTAAAAATATACTAAGAGGGTATATCTCATGTCAAGTATTCTTACCAAAAACAAAGGGGCATGAGGAAACTTTTGGAGGTAATGAATGTGTCTATTACCTTGAGGGGTGATGGTTTCACAGATGTATGAATATGTCCTAGCTCATTAGATTATATACATTAAATATATGCATTTTTTTTGTATATCAATTATACCTCAATAAAGCCATTGAACCTAAAATGAGTGGTATACAGATAAATGTTTTAAAAATGGGTGGGGAGGGCTTCCCTGGTGGCACAGTGGTTGAGAGTCCGCCTGCCGATGCAGGGGACACGGGTTCGTGCCCCGGTCCGGGAAGATCCCACATGCCGCAGAGCGGCTGGGCCCGTGAGCCATGGCCGCTGAGCCTGCGCGTCCGGAGCCTGTGCTCTGCAATGGGAGAGGCCACAACAGTGAGAGGCCCGCATACCGCAAAAAAAAAAAAAAAAAATGGCTGGGGGTGTGGGGAGATCACAGATTTGTAGTGTTTGCCAGTTTCCATGATGTAAATACCCCCACCATGAACAATGTCAAGCTATTGTGTAGAGCATTACTGTGTGTAATGCCAAGCTATCACTGAACTTGGAAGAGATGCATATTCTCACTCTGCAAGCCAGCTCCAGTACACCACTAGATAAGAACATTTTGGGGACAACTGGAGAAATCTGGACTGTATGTTGGATGATGTTATTGAATTTATACTGACTTTCTTAGTATAGAAAGGGAGAATGCCCTTACTCTTGTGAAATATGTGCTGAAATATCCTGATGGCATCCTGATGTTTGAAGACTACTTTCAGATGTGTGTGTACAGGTGTGTGTGTGTGTGTGTGTTTCTGTACGTGTGGAGAAAGAAAGAGAGGGGGAAGAAAATTTCAATGTGTCAAGTGGTTGCTAGTTGATGAAATGGGTGAAGGATACATTAGTGTGCATTAATAAAATTGTTCTTTCAACTTTTCTGTGGGCTTAATATTTTTCAAAAGAAAAATTAATTTGTTGCCAATAGAAGATTTTATATAAAAATCTGAATTTGCAGTTTCTATTGAAAGGAACCTAAAACCTTGCAATTTGGGGCTTATGCTCTCAAATTACACCATTTAGCTGAACCTAATAGGTGGGGGATGTGCTTTCCAGTCAGATCTTATCTCGGCCCTCTTCCCTCATTTGGTTACCTTCCTGACCCCTGTGGGCATCTGCATTTGATGCCCTGGTCTGGAAACTGTTTAATGAGCTTAAGATGGTATTTTATGCTTGTTTCCAAGCACTCAATGGAGAAGAAAAAAAAAAAAAGATGTTGCCTATTATTATTATTCCCAGTGCTTACTTCTGTAATTATTCCTCTTCTTAGATATTAGCCCTAGGCTAATGCCTAAAACCAATTTTACGCTTTTTCAAACAGGTTTTCAAACAGGTTTTACCAGCTCCCTCTGCTAACCCTTTCCAAAAGGATGAAACAGCTTAAATTCCTTGTAAGTTCTGAATTTTGAAATCACACTTCTGGGGTTAAGGAACTCTAGACTTGGGAGAACTTGATGACGTGATAGTCACCTAATTGACTTTCTCCTATGGACAGTTCCTATGATGGCTCAAGGGACTAATTCAAGAGTCAGAATTTAGTACGTAGAACGTCTGTTTCACTGGGGATTGTGGTTTGGAGTGACTTGGCGCCCTCTAAAGGCTACAATGAGAAGAGCAGTCGCTTACCACGTGCTCCCCTTTAAGTTTAGGGCTCCGTCGGAACTGTGACGTTTAGGAGGGTGGGGAAAGGGGCAGAAGTCGTTTGTGGCCTTCGAATCTGAAGGCTTTATTCTAACTCGTCATTTAGCCCTCCTTCGAGAACACGGAAGTATCAAGCTGGTGCCCTACACAACTTTTTTTTCCTCGGTGAGTATACTTTCTGCTGTCACTAGCATGACAGGAAAAACGGATGGTTTTTGTTTTAAACCGAGAGTACTTTGATTAAAGTCAGCATTAGTTTTTTATTTTTCTTTTAGAACAAGGAGTTTGTGTTTGGAATTTTTTTTTTAAGACAAACACTGTCTTTGGCTTTGGGCTTTGAGAAATAATTTGTCAAAATATCTGCTCTATGCCAATAAGGTAAGTGTCCTGGTTTTTTTTTTTTTTTAATGGGGAAATGTTTCCAGAAGCTGCTTTCACAGAGGATGAATACTTTCCTTGGTGAGTACACTCCTTAAAAATGAATGTGATCTTGTCCTTCGAGAGCCTCTTGATTAGGGTTAAAGCAGCAGAATTAGAGAAAACCAGGAAGCAAAGGAACGTGCTAAGGAAACAAAGTTATGTTGTAGGGGGAAACCACCCTGAAGGAAGGTGTGGGTGAGAATAACAGAATCATGGGACTGTCTGTGATTCCAGGCTCACTTCTGATTTCATCTTTTGGATGAGATGGAATTGTGAGGCATTGGGAAACACAAAATACTCCACAAGTGTTATGTTAGGAAATACTGTAGCAAAGGAAGAGCACTGGTAGAGTGATAATAAGAAATATAAATAGATCCAAGTCCAAACTAATATAAATCATAATCAGCTACATAATTTGCTAATCATCCAAGTCTTTCCACGTCTCAAAAATGATTCCTGCATTTTCTGGTCTGTCAGGTATGGGATGGGGTTTTCATGTTGTTCAAAAGTCCAGTTCAGGGCTTCCCTGGTGGCGCAGTGGTTGAGAGTCCGCCTGCCGATGCGGGGGACACGGGTTCGTGCCCCGGTCGGGAGGATCCCACATGCCGCGGAGCGGCTGGGCCCGTGAGCCATGGCCGCTGAGCCTGTGCGTCCGGATCCTGTGCTCCGCAATGGGAGAGGCCACAACAGTGAGAGGCCCACGTAATGCAAAAAAAAAAAAGTCCAGTTCAGTAGTTTAGAGCTTCTTTCGATTAAGGAACTAAATGTCAGCAACCTTTTGACCTACAATGGACCTTATGTTTATAGCCCACTTTACAGTTTACAAAGAGCTTAACACACCTTATGTCCTCCCGCCCCTTCAAGCCTGCAGTCTTCTCTCCTGCCTTTCAATTCACATCTACTTTGGACACCAATTATTTGGCACTTAAACAGTCTCTAAATCAGCCTGTAAAGGACAAGGTGTTTTTTCCCAGGAAAAATACAGCCTACTATGTGTCTCTAACTAGGTCTCCAGGCATAGCTAAGCAGCCCAAGAGTGTCTGCAAGCATTTGTACCCAGAGCACACTGCTATTACAAGACGTACCACATGATATCATGTGTGTCAGCCTCTCTCCATATAGTGGCATCTTCCTGTGGACAGTCACTGGGTCTATATTTATTACTATTATTTAAGTCACTGGCTCTTAATCATCTTGGGGGTCCCCACGCTTGGCTCAGTATCTGCCCTTAGAGGTACACAGGGTGCATCTGTTGAGTGAATTAATTTGCTGCCAGTCTATTCACTGCAGCACATTTTGCATTTTAACCAATCAATTAACAACTATTTCTTTCATATTATTATTGCAAAAACACAGCACAGAGGGATCTGCCAATTCCAGACCTCTACATAGTGCCCTGGAGGTTTAAATGTTCTTATTGGTGGAGGCCATTTATTTCTGATTAAAAGCCACCTAAACCTTTTACTCAATCCAAAGGAAGTCATAGGTATGTTTGCCTATATGTTTCCAAACTTGTTGATAAATTTTATCTGCATGAGCTGTCTTTTCCGGGAAGAGAGGAAAGGAGGGAGTCAGTTAGGGAGGTGGGAAATGAATGCTGAGTAAATATTTGGTGCTAGGCAGCTCTGTGTAATTATTATCACTGTTTAAGACCCAAACAATCCTTCAATATGGCTATTTTTCTTATTTGCAAACAGTAAATCTTAAGGTGTGTAAGTGGGTTGTTTGGGGTCACATGCCTAGTCAGTGGCAGAGACAGAGTTCAAACCCAGTTCTGCTGCCTCCAAAGTCCATTCTTATTGCAGCCTGCCCAACTCTTCCAAATCAAAAGAGACTTCTAAATAAACAAAAAGTTTCAGGGGGAAAAGTGTAAATTTTGCTATAAATAATGAAGCCAGGCGTGAAGGTCTCAACCTTACAAAGGGTAGGGTGGCAGGTAAGATTTGGAAACAGGCAGCTCTGAGAAATCCCTCTGATCCTTGTTGCAAGTCCCTGCCTAGATCCTCCTCTGGAACCAGGTGAGTCCGAAGGGTCCAAGGGCTCAGCAGTCTTCTTCTGCCCTCTGTAAAGTCAGTAACTTCACTTTGGTTTTGTGCCTGGGGGTTCTGATCTGGCTAGGAGGCAAACTACAAAACCAAAAGGACAAAATCCCCCAAGCCCAACCAGAAGGTGTGGCAGCAAACCTGAGCTCAGGTGAGGGAAAAGGCTTAGTAGCAGGAATCACAGGACACTTCAGGCTCTCAGACCAATGAGATGTGCACATCCAGGCTCATACTCAGATACCCTAAGTCTCTCCAGACTCAACCTCTTATTAGCAGAGTGGCCTTAAGTCGTGTTCAGTGATGATGCTATATGTTTTCCCATTTACTGGTATTCAGGGCTCAATAAATATGTTCTCCCTAGGTTCCTCAAGGCAAACACCACTATGGTAAGTGTCATGACACTACAAAGGTCACATAAGAGTTATACAGCAAGATCTCTCCTCAAAAAGTACCATGTCTTCATAGGCAAAGTCAAATCAGTTAAGTATATTTTATAAAGCAAATACTTTGAGGTCTCAGCTACTCTTTGTGTGTTTCTCAGACTGGCCACGAGGGTTGAGGGAAAGGCAGCACTTGAGTGAGGACACCTGACACTTCAAAGTCTTCCATGTGACATAAACCTGATTTGCTGAAATCAACTCGGTGGTTAGCCCATCTGATCAAAGCAAAAGCTATGTTGATGTTTGCAGAAGCCCAAAACATAAAATCAAGAAAAACTGGTTATAAATCCCCATGACACACTCACACTTCCTCAAATCTTTCCTGACAACACGGCATCCCCATTTCCATATGACCATATGACCACAGTTCTGTATTATAGTGAGTCAACCTTTCTCTGTGCAAAGTTAAGAACCTCCCCTAAATGCATGTAATATCTCTTTTGCTGGCAGGACATGGTCCATGACTAGCTATTCTTTAGAACTTTAGACGCTTTGAATAAAAACTAACATTTTTGCTTGTTGCAATTCCTAGCATTTCAGAGGGACTAGGTGTTAGCAAAGAGTCCTTTTAATACTGAGAGGATCTAAAGTCTTAAGGGGATCAAGGTCCTGGCTACACTAGCTAAAAATAAGAGCAAAATTTAATTGAGCACTTACTATGTAGCAGACACACTTCTATCACCCTTCCAACATATCTCAGTCATTTAATTTCATAACAAATATTTTAAATTGGTATTATTATTTCCACTCCCATTGTGCTGAGAAAACTGAGGCACAGAGAGGATAAACAACTAGCCTAAGGTCATACTGTAAATAAATGAAGCGAGGATTCAAACCAAACCAGTATGATTTCAGAGCCCTCATCTTTAAACAACATGTGATTCTGCCTCAGCTCAAAGATGAAAGGATCACTGTAAAAGTTGACTTCTATGACAAGGGTTCCCTTCTAGCTTTGTCATATAAAGATGCTCTGCTCAACCTATCTCATACAGAACACACCATGGCCAAGCGAGTTGCAGTGATTGGAGCTGGTGTGAGTGGCCTGTCCTCCATCAAATGCTGCTTAGATGAAGACCTGGAGCCTACCTGCTTTGAAAGAAGTAATGACATCGGGGGACTGTGGAAGTTTACTGTGCGTAGTTCATACCCTCCCACTTCCACCAATCATAATCTGGCCGTTTGCTTTGTCCCTGCCGAGGCATGGTCGCTTTAGCCTACCTTGGTGATCATTACGGGAGCAGCTCACTGCAGCAACACAAGTTTGTTATGGTGTTGTGCTGACCCCAGGCAGGATGCAGTCTGATAGGTGATGAACTTGGACAACTGGCAGGGTAGGGACAAGAGACAGTTGGAGGAGAGAGGAAGAAAGAGTTAAGTCTAATACACAAACATAGTATTGGAAGTTACGATGATTTCTGGAGCAAGGACATTGTAAGACAAAGTAGCAGCGTGTCACATTGGGTAGCTGAATGGCATTGGTGAATATGGAGCAGGTGACACTTTAGGAAGGACAGAAGTTGGCATCAGGGAGTGGAGCCCCAGCCCCCAGGCATTGTTCAGGTCTTTGGGAAGAGAATTGGCAAGGGTGAGGCAAGAATCCAGACCTTGAAAGGTCTAGGGGGTATTTTTCACATTATCAGAAGAAAAAGAACACAGGCACTAATCCACCCTTCTTAGGAGTGTAATATGCAGCCTAGTGGGGTATGCTCAAGGCTAGGCCAGCTATTAGGTGACTTGAGCATCAGGAATTGGGGCTGGAAATGACTAAATACCCCCTGCCTCTGGCCAAAATTGGTCCTGGTTACTGGGAATAGCAGGGCCTTCAGAGGGAATAAAGGGACCTGCCTCAGTGGTAGGGTATAAGGTGTCAGAAGACGGGAGGCCCAAGTACTAAATGCTTTGGTTGGGGAGAGAAGAGCAGCCTTTAGTGGGAGCTCAAGGTTGGGGAGGGTGCTTAAAACTGATATGAATGAGGGAAGCCTTCTTGGAGTAGGCAGCATTTGCCAGTCTTTGATGGATGGTGAAGAAAACAGAATAAGCAAACACATGTAAATGATCACAACCCTAGGATTATAGCATACTGGGGGAAAATAATTTTTTCTGGTGTACTATGGGCCTCTTCAAGCCACCAAATGTTAATGTGGAAGAAAGTATTAGGTCTGCTGTTTTACCCCATGGTTGGTTTGGTTTCCTTCTCCTATTGTAAAGTGATATAGATTAATTTTAGAAAACAGTACTGAGTTAAACAAAAGAAAAATACAAACTAAATATAATATCAATTCTCATGAGTCAGCACTAACAAAATTTTGATGTAATTTTTTCCAGTCATACAAATACTTTTTTTTTCAAAAATGCAATTGTAGTATTCATTTTCATCCATTCAACAAGTACTCGTGTTGTCCCTCTACCAGGACCTATGGGAAACAAGATGGACAAGGACCCAGCCCTCCTTACTGTCTGGTGGGGAACAGAAACAGTAAACAGATCACTACAATGCAGTGTGATTGGTTCTGTGCTCAAAGTACAGTGTGCTGGGGCAGGGCGCAATAGCTACCTTGTGAAGATCTGTTGGGTCATGGAAGGCTTCTTAGAGAACATGATGGTGAAGGAAGAGACTTGAAGAAGAAAACTTCGGCCACGAGAAGTTCACCGGTGCCTTTAATATAGATCTTTTTGTTTTGTTGTTTTGTTTTTGAGTGACAGAGATCGAGACAAGACAACAAGTTGAGAAGTCCAGGAGAAAACACAGGCTGCCAGTATGTGATGATTCTTTCATGACGACTGAGATAAGACAGAGAGAGACAAGGCTGGAAGGGGATACAGGTTGAAAGGGAGTTTTGTTTTGTTTTGAAAATTTGAGTCTTCAGTATTTTAAGTGTGGATGGGAAGGAGCCAATAAAAAGAGAGCGGTTGAAAATATCCATAGACAATAAATAGAAAAATTAGTGAGGAGTTCCTTAAACAAAGGCAAGAGGAAGAGGTGCAGAGCATGAGTGGACGGAATAATCATGGCAAGGGAAGAAGGAGAAGATAAGCAAGATAGACCGTGGGCCTGTGTTCATGGAATATTTTAAGGGCAGTGCCATTCTTGGAGAGCCCTATTAAATGTTGTTAGCTTCTTTGTAGATTGAGAAAGATATCATATTTAACAATTCCAACCCCACCAATGATTTCTGATAACTATAGCATGGAGACCCAATGCTAACTTTTCCAGGAACTCTTTGGAATTACAAGTGGAACGCTAACTGCTGATGATCTCTGTTCTCTTCCTCCTATCCCCCCACCACCCCATCAAGCTAACTGTGCTTTCACCACAGGAAACTTCTAAAGATGGGATGACCAGGGTCTACAAGTCATTAGTGACAAACGTCTGCAAAGAAATGTCATGTTACAGCGACTTCCCCTTCCAAGAAGATTATCCCAATTTCATGAAGCAAGAAAAATTTTGGGACTACCTCCAAGAGTTTGCTGAGCACTTTGACCTTCTGAAATACATTCGGTTTAGAGTAAGATACCTTGGGTTATGGAAGGTTAATGAGTAGGGGCTGGCCCATTCACCAATCTGATGGAAATGGGATACTTAAGTAAACTTCTTCCTGACTTTCTCTCTATATGAATAAGGCAGATAATAATCCTGCTGGTCATGTTTTACTCAAATAAGTCACTAAAATACTGAATTTCCTGGTTCTTCCTCTAAATTCAGACTCTCATTCAGGATAAAATTTAGAATGTTTTTGAGAGGAAAGGAAAAATGGATTTTGTTCATGAAACCCATTGGGAAGAAATGACTAGAAGTCTGAACCACAGATATTATAATGGGTCAAAACTCATTTTCCTAAATTTTTTCAACATTCGGTGTTTTAATTCATCTCCTTCTCACCAGGAATAAAAACTGAATGTTTCTTCCTTGCAGTGAAGGCATTCAGATGTTTTGGGTCCTAATCTATATGACCACTTTTGAGACTTTGCACAAGTTATTTAACTTCTCTAGGGAAAAGATAAGCCAATGTTAACAGACCTCCTATCGTGGGACTGACTTGGCCCACTTGAAATAACAGACATGGTTACCATAGGGTCATTGTATGAGGTCCCAAGATGACTGATGGAAAGCGAGTGTTTGTCTTTTGCTTTCAGACCACAGTGTGCAGCGTAACAAAGCGTCCTGACTTCTCCGAAACTGGTCAGTGGGATGTTGTCACAGAGACAGAGGGGGAGCTGGACAGAGCTATCTTTGATGCTGTCATGGTTTGCACTGGACACTTCCTGAATCCCCGTTTACCTTTGGAGTCATTTCCTGGTGAGTCATTTCTGCCTGAAACCAAGCCTACTCTTCTGGGTTCTTCTAGAAGTTACTGATTTGTAATTGGAAATACTTCCTCGTGATTATAGACAACTTTATGTTTACCCTCAGAAATAATATGTACAAAATAACTTTGAAAGTTATAAAACACTATAGAGGTGTCAGATTTTATTATTTACTTATTAATATAAATGCTGATGTTATCATTTAAGTTTTATCATGCCTGTCTGATTCAAGCTCAGTGATCACAGAAGGCTCAAAACTATCAGATCGGTCATGAAAAAAAATAGGCTTTGAATTTCGTCATTAAATTACAGGTCATTTGAATCAGGAGTGACCTGTAATTCAAGAACTTAAAGGAAGTGAAAATACAAGGAAACTTGACAGAATTTTTTTTAAGAACTAGACCAGAAATTATACATACAAAGAAATATTGTCACCCTTCAAAATAGTCATCACAATAAGAATCCATCCACCTCTTAAAGCAGGGCTATCCACACAAAGGAGTTTTAGAAATTCCCCTTTGGAAATGCTTTTGATCCAATGGCACATTCTTTTTAATATACTCACAATTAGCAAATCTCCATCTTTTGAAGTCAAGTGAGGATTACTAAAATGTAGTGAAGCTACTCTTCTTCCGTTACTCATAAGTGGCCCTAAAGGCAATTGAGTATGAAGTTTTGAAACTTCTTTTAGGAATTAAAAGAACCTTTAAGAAACGAAGATGTGAAGAAGAAAGTCTGCAAACCTTAGACAATAAAAAATGAAATATAAATCTTAAAACATAATCTCAAATTAACAAACTATTCTATTTTCAAAATGTGTTAGGGACCAAGGGAGAATTCAGTACATAATTTTACAAAGAAGCAATATTGTAAATGGTGGGTCAGCTTCAGGCTTGCTGCTAGTCTATGGGCTAAACACATAATCACATAGTACCAAAGGAATATATAACTGCCTCTGTAACAATGTTTCTATGAGGAAATGTGTCACAAGTGTCAAATAAGAGATGCTTTTGGAATTAAGTGTCTTGTCAGGTTTAAGGTGGCTAATCCTTTACTCCTAACTACCTTCAGTCCCACTGCGACTATAACTAAAGAACACTGCTGCAAAACAGCAATCAGGGGCTGAGAGGTGATGATCTTTGTGGCAGTATGAAGTGTCCAGACTGGCAGAAGTGGGCCCAAGGAAAGAGACTGGCTAAACATAAACTAGAGTAGCAACATAGTTTTGGATCATCTTGAGAGCAGACATTTCTACATACTTTAATGACCTCAGGGAGGTGGGGGAGGAATAATTGTAGTAGAAATATTGAGGTGCCCCTTTCTTTTGCCCTAAAACCCAGATATTGGAGAAGGAAGAAACCCACACACGTAGATTTTAGAGGCTCCCCCTGAGGGGGTCTTGGTTTATGACCAGACTTTAGAAGAATCTGTTACGGGGGACAGCAGGACAGATAATCCCAATTTCCTCTGTGTTTCCAGAGTGAGGTATCTTGGTGAATGGATACGATGTAAACTTTCCAGGAAGTTCTGGTCTGCTACAGTTCCCTGCAGGCAATAGCCCTGGATAAGTAGCATTTAGCATAATGGTTATGAACAAAGCTCTGGATCCAGACCCTGTGCTAGTTGCTTAATCTTGGATGAACATAACCTCTCTAAGCCTCAGCAAAGTGGAAATATAAGTTCCCATCTCAGAGTAGTGATGAGGATTAAATGAGATCATCCATGTAAAATACTTAGTATAGTACAGAGCACACAGTAAGCACTCTATAAACAATAGCTACTACTGTTATGAATCATGACCTTTAGTAAGCTATTATCCACCATCTGAGAATTGCTTGGAAGAACCTGCTTCCTAAGAAGCAGATGCGTCCCCCAGACGAAGAAGTATTTCTCCCTCTTAGTTAAGTTATAACCCCAGTTATAAGCCTCAGCAGCCATTCCATCTCAGAGTGCTGGATCCTTCCAGAGCCCATACAGGAATCACGGGATGGGTGGCACAAAGTGCAGTTCTGCAGGTCACCCCTCTTGATTCTTTTCTCTCCCACACCAAGAAGTTGTGTAAACGTGACTCTCTAAACACACATCAGTTGTAATCATTAGTTACAGATTAGTGGTCGCAAATGCCTAATTATATTTGATCAATTATTAACAAATGTTCTTAAACTCTGTGAGCGTTGTGCATGGACTTCAAGCTTCTGGTCTTCCTTCTCCTAAGGTAGTTTCTAAGCATTTTTCAACACATAACAGTAGGGGAATAAGTATAAGATGAAGAAACCACAATAGCAAACTATTCCAGAGATATTTGCTGACAAGGCAAACTAGGCCCTGTGCCTCCTAGCAGACCGTTTTTTTTTCTGAATTAGTAGTTTTGATTTACCAAATAGATTCCTTTGGGGTAGGGGAGGGGGCAAGGCATTATTGACGTATCATTGATTCAGAACTACCTATGCATTCCATACTTTTTCTTGGGTCCCCTGCTCAAATATGCAATTATGGAGAACCTATTATTTGAAAAGCATTGTGTTAGGTCCATACAAAATCTATGAACCAAGGTTGAGCCCTCAGGAAGCTTCTCTCCAGCCAAACCTCAGTGAATAGGTTGAAGCCCCACTCTCTAATGCATTCGAGGCACGTGTTCTTCCCCCTTCTTGAAACCCTCTTAGGGCTTCACTTTTCAAATTCCTAATCATCTTTCTAATGTCATTCTTTGAAAAAAAAAAAAAAATCACCTCCTCCAGGATGACTTCCCTGGCTCAGTCTAGGCTGATGCCCCACTGAGGGCATCGTAACACCTCCTGTTCTGGGGGGCAGCATAGTATCATGCTTGACAGCTGAGCCCAGAGTCAGATGACCTGACTTCCCTTCCGGCTCTGCTACTTACTATATGGCCTTGGGCAAGTTGCTTAACCTCTCTGTGCCTCCACTCTCAGCATCAGTAAAATTGCATCATAATACTGTTCACCCTATGGGGTTGTTGTGAGGTTTAAATTAATTAATAGGTATAAAATCCTTAGAAGAATGTCTAGGACTTGCTAGTAAGGTCTGAATAAGCGTTAGTTAGCTCTTGTCTGTTTACCTATTTCTCACTCGAGGATGAACTCTTTAAGGGTAGAGACTGCCTTTTATTCTCACATCTCCTAAACCTAAAACCTGAAACAGTGCCTTGGGCTATACAATGTTGAAAGTACAGGTCATGTAATATAGAGTTATTAACCAACTGTACTTTTTCTTGTAATGTCCCTGCAGGCCTCATCTGTGGGGCTTGTCCTCCTGCCCTTGGTTGCAATTTCAGGCCATTCCCACCGCTTTTCTGCTCACTCTCAAATAATGAAAAGTCCTCCTCTGTCATCTTTTTTGTTTGTTTGGCCGTGCCATGCAGCATGTAGGATCTTAGTTCCCTGACCAGGGATGGAACCCATGTCCCCTGCAGTGGAAGCAGAGAGTCCTAACCACTGGACTGCCAGGGAAGTCCCCCAACTTCTCATTTTTATAACTGAAATGTTCTGTCTCGTGTAATAGTAAAAACTGGCAATTACCTGTAATGATGAAGCTTCTCCCCTCCCCCAGCCGGCTCCTGCTTTGTGCTGACAGCAGCAGTGAGAAGAGATGGTGCGCTTGGCTGCTCTCTTCCTCTGCCAGTTCCTCCTCCAAACCTTTCACTCACCAGCTGCAGTCTCTGGCCCTTCCAGAATTGGAGTCAGGGCAAGGACAAGAAGAAGTAAGGGGGCAGGAAAAGTCTTTCTTCACTGGCACCAACCAGGTGCTAGTTCTCTCAGGCCTTGGGGGTGTTTAAGATCCATGCTTTGTGGGGTGCTTTCCTAGGCTCTGCTCCAGAGAGACTCCCCATGACTAGGGATCGTTCCGTGCAGCCCCTGTTGCTACAGACCAAGCACTCTCAGACTGGCCACTTTACAAGTTCCTAAACCCTAGCTCCTCCCCAGGTCATTTCCATAGACTATCTATTAAGGTCTCATTGCCAGTCCAGATGGCTACCTTGTGCAAAGTCCCTTTAAATTGGCATCAGACAGGCTCTCTCCTACATGGCTTTCATCTGGTCCACATGAGACATGTATTCCACACTGTCAGCAGTAGTAGATGAAAAACTTGCTACTGGTGCAGCCACCCCTTGCAGGCAGTTCCAGTCACAGCCTTTCAAGCGTGGGTCACACACCAGTCTCTGTACTCCATAGACTCCAAGGGTCGAGGTCTCACAGGGGTCTCCCAGAAGCCCCTCGAATATGGCTTCGTGTCAAGGAGACAAAAAGTGCAACAGCACTTTAAAATCCTTTCCTGAAAGTCTCCAATTTCCAACCTCTGGCCACTTTGACTTCAATCCCTGAAAGTGAGAGGCAAAGGATCACAAAACCGGTCTGCATACACCTTCTTTGCAAATTCTGCCTAGTGGGTTTAGCACCTCCCTGGGAATGTGGCAACTATTTGTTGCCATATTTAGTGCATTTAGTTTTCAGCTTTGGGGGCCTCAGCAGGCAAAGACTCCTATTAAAACATTGTGTTATATATAGTAGCTCTTCAATAAATGTTATTGAGTAAATGAATGAATCAGTGACTGTCTGGTAGGAGAATGATAGGTTCCAGGAGACAGTTTCATCTTTTTACATTAAAATTGCAAAAGTACTTGAAGTATTGGGGTGAGAGGCTGAGGAACCCTTTAAAGTGCAGCACCTCCCTTTCTGATTCATTGTCAGTGCTTCATTTCACCGGTCACAGGGTCTGAAGGTGGCTGGCCCCATCGCTGTTTATTTCCTCTGCCACCTCTCATTGCTGAAGCTGTTACCACCGACCCTTTCGAGCTGGTCCCCAATGAGGGTCCTCCTGCCCGGTGCTGTTCGAGCCAAGAGGTCAAATTTGGTTCAGAAGCAGAGGAAAGCTTTATTCTTTGATCAGAGAGTGGACAGGTGCGAGATCTGGCTCTAGAGCAGGCGACCCCCAGGACGTGGTGGGGCTGCTTTGCGGGGTTCTGTCAGCAGGGAG